TTATACTTTAGACTGAGCTTACATTTAGTGTCTTATATTTCTAACTCCAATCAATTCATATTATTAAACAAATATCTTTTCATCTCCCATGGTATGATGGATGCGCACTGTCGAAGAATCTCAAACTGATACACAACAACATTCCAGCAAATCATGGTTTTTATGATTTATGTTACTGAAATCAGTTCATGATGTAATCAATAGGATTCAACAATCTCCACTAACTCCACATACCATTTTATCATAGCTCCCTTTTTATATTAATATTACCGCAACTGGATTGTTGTACTAAGACCATATTTCAGTAGTAAATTAACGTCAACCACAAAACTGTTGGAATAAAATAATAGTGATCAATGGAGTCCAACTAATCACTTGGTATTGTTTGTTTGAATCTTCCCATTGATGTTTAGGACTGCAATTGATCAGTCTCTTACTGCTATATGTGTATACTGTACGTATTGCCTCGACATAGCCTTAATTCACAAGCATTATAAGCAAAGATGAATAGTGGCTAGCAGTGGAGTCTAGGAGACTGAACAATTGCAGTCCTAAACACCAATGGGAAGATTCAAACAAATAATACTAAGTGGATTCAAACTTCACCCCATTGCACAGGCAAGTGGCTATCAGGACTCAGTAGCTGAGTAGATAAAGCGATGGCGTCTGAAGCAAAAGGTACAGGATCCAAGTCCCAAAGTGAACATCGACTATGAGATGCAGGTACATCCAACCAACGAGTCTTAAATAGAACTAAACGTGCGTCCTGGATTCCACTGCTAGCCACTATCCATCTTTTCTTATGGAGTCCAACTATGTTTCAAATGACAATTCATGATGGTCACTGAGTATCGCCAACTGACTAAATGTATAAATTACGATTTATGAATTTGATGTCGAGACATGAAGATTGTGGGTTATATCTCGTTTGATGTATTTAACGTATAAAAAATTGGGAGTGAAATATTTTTGTAGTTTTTCTGAATGAACCATTTCTTACTGGTTTGATATAATGAATGTCACATTTGACTTCAATAGCTTAACGGATAATGTTGAAAGCTATCGATGCTAGGCATAATTCTCAGAATGAACACTGACACTCAAAACATGTACAAGCCTATCCAGTGAATAAAACTCTTGAATATGCCATAACAACCACCTTGAATTCCATCACAAGTCATAATCCAATTTAAGATAGACAATAATATATATCGAATATATATCGAATCTCACGAGAGCGGGTTCGTGGATGCGCACTGCTCAGGAGTCCCATAATAGAACGAAACGGCCGTCCAGTGTTTCCAGGTTTTCCTTGGTGGTCTAGCTTCAATTGACTCATGCTTTCTACTATGAAAAATACTAAATCTCCACAAAACCCCTTCTGATAATAATATCTATGACAAAGGTACGAAAAGTGACTATAATCCAGTAGAAGATCACTTCAACACTTTCAGTCATGAAAGTTAATGAAAGAATTGAGAAAAAAAATCGACGAAGCATTTCCCAACTCCTCCCTTTTTAAAAATTCTTTCATGGAAATGGTAAGATTAACGCTATCACAACAATGTACTGTTCATTGTCTTTTCATGTGATGGATTGTACTTCATGTTTTGTGTGCTAGAAAAAAATACACATCCACGTTTGAGAGTATTTATGTTTGTGTGTGTGTGGGAAAGAGAGAGAGGGTGAAGGAAAGAGGTTAGATATCTTTCAATTTATGTATATCTCTGAATCCCTCTCCCTCCCTCCCTCCCTCCCTCCCTCCCTCCCCCCCTCTCTCTCTCTCGGTTATACACTCACTTTCTCTGTATGTCTATCTCCAACATGTTTCTTTAGTGTTCTTTTGTTACTATTCCTATTGTGTGTTGATGTCATCTTTCATTTGTCGAAATGAATAAGCCTTTTCTATCATTCTCTTTTCTCAAGTATAAAAAAAAGAAGGGAAAAATTCACAAGATGAAAAATTATGTCAATTCCAGGTTCAAATAGAAGTAAAAATGGAAGAGATCGAACATCAGTAAAATGTTTTTTCCTTTATCGAAAAGATGACCTAATTATTAAATGTGTTCAATTGAAATCTAGGGTAGATGTAATGGATACTAAACAATTGATGTGAAATATGAATAGATCATTTGTTTCAAACCATTTACTTACTTACTTACTACTTACTTACTTACACCTGTTACCCTCAATGGAGTATAGGCTGCTGACCAACAGTCTCCAATCCACTCTGTCCTGGACCTTCCTTTCTAGTTCTATCTAGTTTTTGTTCATTCTTCTCACATATGTTTACATTTCTCTGTGTAATGAGTTATTTGGTCTTCCTTTTCTCTTTTGGCCTTCAGGATTCCATGTGAGGGATTGTCTTGTGATGCAGTTGGATGCTTTCCGCAATGTCTGTCCTGTCCACATATTGTTTCAAGCCATAATGAATGTAACTATTAGCAAGAATTGATGATAATTAAAATTGAGATAGTGATCGAACCAATAAAAATTGTGTGACTTTTAGGGTTGTTTCTTTTCGAGAACATCAAATATGATGTATCATGAGCAAGTGATAGATTTGTAGGGCCAGTGAAATGTCAGTGAGCCCTAGAGGAATCATCCTGAAGTTGAGTCATTAAATATAGAGCAGTTCATCGATTCTCGTCAAGGTCAACGACAGTCAACACACATCAGTTAATAGTACGCCATGGACTGGCCCATGCGATGGTGGTCACACTTTCGTTTGTACCTACACTAACTAACATATTCCTGTAATAATGTCCTTTGTGTTGTACGGTCTTCAAAGCATCCTCAGTATCTTGATACGATAAAGGGGGAATCCACGTTAGGTATTGACCGCGAGGTGTGACTTCAAAGTAAGCTGTTGGTCACACCATTTCCATCTAACCCGAGTAGGTCAACCAATCATTCTACGAAAATCGTCTAACTTAGTGATCTACAGATTACATGTTCGTGAATTTGTAGCGCACCTGTTCTTCAATGTTTAATGTGTATGATATACGATAAATATAAGTCATCTTTTAAGTACTTCATGTGCTTCAGCAGATGACCTCTGAAAAATAGGTTGTTATTACCCGTCAAGCGATTTCCAAGTTCCCGAACAGCTTAAAACCAACACATATTTGTTATTAACATAATCATATTCTATAAAGTCATCTTCATTTATTTAATAATAATATTGATGGTGTAGACCATCAACGTTGATGATCTATGTCGAATGATTGGAGGCCTACTCTAGTTAGACGGGAATGGTGTAACGAACAAGCTAACTTCAAAGTCACACCTCACGATCAACGCCTTACGTGGATTGCCTCATCGACATATCAAGGGACCATGGATGATCTGAAGACTATACAACACAAAGGATGTTATTGCAGGAATATATTAGTTAAAGTGGATACATGTGAAAGTAGAACCACTGCCGCATGGGCAGGTCCATGGTGTATGATTGACTGATGCGCGTTGATTGTCTTTGACCTTGACGGAGATCGATATTTAATGATCCAACTGCTGGATGATTTGGCTAGGGTTCAGTGACATTTCAGTGAACCTACAATGGTTTTGTTCATTAGGATATGTATGATTACAGTGAGGAATTCTTGGCATGAACTATACTAAATCCCTACAAAACTCCGGTTTCATAAGTATTCAACTTGTGAATATTCGAAAAAATGTATAGAAACAGTTTCTAAATAGGGATTAGATGTTATTTATATTCATCTTTAAATGTTTACGATTAGTTCTGCTACTACGACATGATGTATGATTACTTAACTAATTCGTTTTCGTTTCTTCAATGTATAGGGGAAGAGGAAAATTTACCGAGTCGATGTAAGCTAGACCACCACTGAAAACCTTTAATCACTGGACGACCGTTTTTTTCTAGTATGGGACTCCTTAGCAGCGCTTACCCACGATCTTATAGCCAAGGGTATCGAACTCAGGACCTTTGACCTCGCTCGTGAACAAATAACCTCTTAACCACAGAGTTTGCGCACTGCTGAGGAATCCCATACTAGGACGAAACGGTCATCCAATACTTCCAGGATTTTAATGGTGATTTAGCTTACATCGATTTATGAATTCAACTGATAAAACTTACTATTTCCCTGTAATCTTGAGGGGACTAGTGCTCCTTGATGGATTCTATTTCGAGTCAACCAGCTTCACAGTCAGAGACGTTACCACTGAGCTATCCGGGACGCGACCAACACCCTGTAGGACTGAGATGTAATCACAATTGATTGATCACTGGGTGGTGAATAATGTCATATGTGTCAAGTCATTCTTAGTGCAGATTGAAAGCTATCGATCACGTTGTAATGTGGCTCAGTGATAACGTCTCTGGCTGCGAAGCTGGGTGACACGGAATCAAATCCGTTAGAGAGCACCAGTTCCCTCAATATTACAAGTACACCTTACTAACGAGTGCCAACCAGCATGAAACCTGGGTCCAAGATTTCCTGTTGACTACCTCCAACCACTATCTTATCTCAACATAGTCTACGCAGTATCGAGTCACCTAAACTAGTGACCACATTACAACTTGATCGATAACATTCAATCAAGCACTAAGAATGACTTGACACACATAACATTGATTACCACCCAGTGATCAATCAATTGTGATAACTATTTGTCTATTTTAAATGCTTTTTTCCTATTTTTATCCCAATCATAAATCTGATTGGTCGATTCGTTTACAACCAATCAAATTAAGAATGAGATTGATAACATGAGTAACCAAATTAAACTATCCTACATAATTCCAATTCACCGATTGAAAAATATTCATCATCTACTTCTTCATGTTGATCATTTAAAAATCTATTTCATTATTCAATCATACATTTTTTGGGGGGGAACTATACTTATCATATTACTATTGTGTATACATTAGTAATATATATAACGAGATTCCAATAAAAGGAAACATTATGTAATGAATTCCACTTGGGTATATTCATTAATGAGATAAGAATAAACATTCAATGATGTGGTTCCTTATACAATGGATTCATATTTGCCTATTAGTACAATTTAATTCAGATGCTGTTAAAGGTAATTCTATACATTCCATTTACTTATATTGTTTCGATAATTAGAATGTATTTTTATAGTTGAAATCATGAGTCAATCGAAGCTAGACTACCATGGCGAACCTGGAAGCACTGGAGAGCCGTTTTATCCTATTATGGGACTCCTCAGTGGCAGTGCGTATCCACGATCCCGCACTCGCGAGATTCGAACTCAGGATCTACCAGTCTCACGCCAGATCACATAAGCGATAGACTACTTGAGCCAGTCGGCATTCAGCGGTGTTAATGTCTAACTTCAACCAATCCACGAAGTTTGAGCAACCGTTCACCAATTGTCTTCAGTGAGTTGTTATCTCACAACAGACTGGTAGGTCCAGGTTTTCCATGGTGGTCTAGCTCCAATTGACTCATGATTTCAACTATGAAAATACTGAAATCTACACAAAACCCCTTCTAAGTGTGTATTTACATTTGTTTTTCTTTATTATAAGAAAATCCTTCATTGAAAATATACTTGTCTAATAACCTGCTTAGAAATGATTTTCTAAGGTCTTAATCTGAAGTTATGAATGGTATGAAGTTAAATCATATTTTGAGTGAAATAGTTATACACTAATGAGAAATGAGACACTGGAATCTCGCTAGGTGGGATCGTGAATGTGCACTGTTGAGGATTCCTACAACAGGACAAAAAGGCCGTCCAGTGATTCCAGTTTTTTTTATGGTGGTCTAGTTTCAACTGAGTCATGAATTCCATTATAAGACGAAATAGGTGAATAATTTCTTTGGGTTTTTATTGTTATTGCCAATGAATTTCAATGTATAATGAAAATTATTGGACAGATGATTCTCCTTAATATGGTACTATTCGACGATGGATACCCACGATTTCAATACGGGTAAAGGTTAAAACTTTCAAGAGTCATGGTAGTTGAAGGTTAGTCTTCTGACCAGATTCCTGATTGCAAAACTCGAACCTCTATCAATTTGAAGTATAGCGTGAAGACTATAAAATCCCACTGATGACAACTTTTTTTATCCCAGAACTGTCTGAATAAGTTAACTGAAGTGTACCTTGTAATCAGTTTACGTTATTTTCTAAACTTTTTTGAATTTATATTTATTTGAACACATAAATATTGGTACAAAGGGTCAACGAATACATATGCGACACACAACTCACTTGATTTATATGTGGGCTGTGATACTGATCGGGTGACCAGACCGAAATAGGGGGTTTTCTGAAGTGGACACACTCCGATCTTTAGATCTAAAGGTCTGATTTACAAGGCTATGGAGTAACGTAAGGAGATATAGTCCCATGTTTACCGATGACCAACTATAGCTTCATACACCATTTGTTCCACCAGGATCCTATAACCCAAATGCACCATTGGTTTTGAATGAGTGTTTTCTAACTCATCTAGGTGGATCCTCCATATCCATCAACCCAGTTAAAGCACTGGACAGTCGCTTTTTATCCTCTCAATTTCGTAAAAAATAATAATGCTACAAGAATTCAGTGAGTAAGACTTCTCTAATAGTGTCTATGTGAGAGCGTTTCGAGTGGGAGAGCTGACTCTCCCCATTCTCGACCTTACCAGGGCATTTTGGGTTGTTTTTTTAAATGCTTGAGATTATTCATCTCATGTCTAAGTTTATCGTATCTTATCCGATCGTTCTCCTAACAATGATCAAATTATTTATAGAAGGGGTTTTGTGGAGATTTAGTATTTATCATTGTTGAAAGCGTGAGTCAATTGAAGCTAGACCACCATGGAAAACCTGGAAACACTGGACGGCCGTTTCGTCCTATTATGGGACTCCTCAGCAGTGCGCATCCACGAACCTGCTCTCGCGAGCGAGATTCGAACCCAGGACCTACCAGTCTCGAGCCGAAGCCCTTAACCGATAGACCACTGAGCTGGCATCCAACGGTGTTAATGTCTAACTTCAACTGATCCACGAAGTTGAGCAACCATTCACTGAAGACAATTGGTGAATGGTTGCTCAACTTCGTGGATCAGTTGAAGTTAGACATTAACACCGTTGGATGCCAGCTCAGTGGTCTATCGGTTAAGGGCTTCGGCTCGAGACTGGTAGGTCCTGGGTTCGAATCTCGCTCGCGAGAGCAGGTTCGTGGATGCGCACTGCTGAGGAGTCCCATAATAGGACGAAACGGCCGTCCAGTGTTTCCAGGTTTTCCATGGTGGTCTAGCTTCAATTGACTCACGCTTTCAACAATGATCAAATTATTTATAATGAATATTAAATATTAAGTTGGCTTATCAATATTCAATACTTCCATCTACATGGTATAGGAAATATTTTATGCACGAACGGAAATATTTGCATAGTTAGACAGATATGTTCATTCATACTAATCTCTTTAATGAGTCCCAATGAACATTGCTTTTAATCTGGGAAGCATAAGTTTTCAGATTAATTGCTGTGAAGGAAATAGCTATCTGTATAGCCTTAAAAAATAGTTTATCTATAATGAAAAGAATTTAAAACAGTATACATCTAACAACTAGTAAGTTGATCACCATGCATTTGTGGTGCCGTGCTTCGCAAATCATTCCCCTTAATAACCGTTATAATACAAGTTTTAACGGTGCATAAAATCAGAAGGTAAAAAGAAGCGGCAGCTACTGTTTTATTGGCGAATAAGGCAGGCCAGAAAGTTATAAGCACATAAGTAAATACCACCAAGCGAAACAAAAATGACACACATTGGAGATGGCGGATAAGCCAACTCACTCTAATCAAGCGTTAATCAATATTTATAGTCAGATAAGAATAAGTTACAGATATATGATGAATAGGATAAGAAGTGTACACACACCTACGCTCATATAAAAATGGACAGGGTTAATAAGTGAATGATTAACAAGTTGAAAACATGACCCATGATGGATAGTTGAATTGACTTGTCCAGAAGTTGGAATAAAGTATGTGAGTTTAACATATTAACCGATACTACACATTCCACTGATTGATCTTCATTATTATGAATAGATGATTACTTGTAGTGTAGAGATCCAATCTAGGCCTTGAATTCAACAATAAAAGAAGCTGTTGATCTTATGCATTATATCAAAGAATTTCTGAAGTTCACAACTAAGTAAAACAAACAAAACTGCAGTTATAAATGATGCAATTACAGCATTTCAAATTGGACAGAAGTATACATTTCAGTAATCTCCACACAATCCCTTCTGATATTTTTATTCGTCACACTTTCCTAGACACCATCCTAGACATACCTGATGATTGGTAGATAATGATGTAAATATTATATGGGACAGTAATTTCCTCATAGCATCAGTTAAACTTGCATCATTTTTTGATCGGATCATTTAAGTATGATACAGTAATATCAATCAAATATTTTTATTTGCATAGTTAAAATCATGAATCAATTGAAGCTAGACAACCATAGAAAACCTGGAAGCACTGGACGGCCGTTTCCGCCTATTGTGGAACTCTTCAGCTTCAATTGATTCATGATTTCAACGATGCAAATACTGAAATCTCCAAGAGACTCCTTCTGAAAATATTTTGACTCAAACTTTTATTTTATCTGAATAATATTACTAACTACTACTTATAATATTGTTTATTAATTAAATTTTAGTTGTTCATCCACCAACATTTATCAAGATGCCACCGTCTATAGCTTATATTAATCCAGAAGAACCTTTATTAATTCCTTGTTATGCAAAAGCCAATCCAGAACCAAGGTAAGGAAATGTTTGAATTATTCAGTGTATTGATCAGTTAATTTTTTATGGATGTGTTTAATTCTGGTAACTGAAAGTTATATTGATTTAATGGGAGAAAAATTTCTTTCGAGAATCTAGGTATAACTTGGCTCCTAAATGTCCTGGTACGGTGGAGGGTGAGGAGAGTCAGCTCTCCCACTCGAAACGCTCTCACATAGACACTATTAGAGAAGTCTTACTCACTGAATTCTTGCAGCATTATTATTTTTTACGAAATTGAGAGGATAAAAAGCGACTGTCCAGTGCTTTAACTGGGTTGATGGATATGGAGGATCCACCTAGATGAGTTAGAAAACCTTCATTCAAAACCAATGGTGCGTTTGGGTTATAGGATCCTGGTGGAACTAATGGTGCATGAACCTAATGTTGATCACCGACTACCATGGGACTACACCTCCTTATGTTACTCCGCTACCATATAGATCAGACCTTCAGGGCAAAGGCTCGGGGTGTGGCTCATTAAGAAAACCGGCTGCTTTGGTTTAGGCCCTCGGGCAGTATTCTATCTCTCACACAAATCGAGTAATGCGGATTGGCGCCTATGTATTTAGTGCCTCCTTGTACCATTGTTTATGTGTTTAAATAAATAAAGATATACCTTGCTGACGAGTGGCGACTAACAGAATCTCCTGCAAACTGCCTTTATTCATTTACCAATTAAATTTAAATCTAAACATTTCGGATTTTCAGTACAATTGGAATGTGTTGGTTAGTGTCATTCAATGTATCCTTCATTAATACCTATTTCGTGTATGATAGATAGAAACAGCATTGGTTTGACATTCCATTAAGTAATAGTTAAGCTCAATATGGTGTTTCTTCTATATTCTTAATATACCTAATGTTCTACGTAAAAAAACATATTCAGATTATGAAACATGTCTTCTATGAATGGTAAATAGGATTTAGTCGATTATGCACGTTTGAAATGCTTATTCAAGTTATCATTAGTTTACTAACTTATCATTTACATTTGGAGATCAGGTTATGGTTGATACACTGACTGTATGCCCCCAAATGCCCTGGTAAGGCCGAGAGTGGGGAGAGTCCACTCTCCCTCTCCAAATGCTCTCACATGGCCACGCGTAAACAGCCACTACCAGGAAAGTCCTACTCACTACATTCTCGCACCACGGGTATTGATTACGAAATTGAGAGGACGAAAAGCGAATGTCCGACGCTTTAACCGGGTTGATGGACACGGAAAGTCCACCTGGGAGAGTTAGGAAACCCTGATTCCAAACCAATGGTGCACATGAGCTCCTGTATCCTGAGGGAAAAAATGGCGTATGAACCAATCGTTGTTCACCAACTACCATGGTACTGCATCTCCTCACGATACTCCACTGCCTTATGGATCAGATCTCTATGTTGAAGGCTCGGGCTGTGGTTTCCTAAGAAAACCACTTGTTTCAGTTTGGGAACCCGGGCAGTATCACAACTCTTACACAAATCAAATGAGATTTGTGTAGCGCATATATATCTGGTGCCCCTTTGTAACAATATTTATGTGTTTAAATAATAATAACACTGACTACATTCGTTTCGATTGTTTATATGCCTAATGTTGAGATATGAAGGTTGTTCATATCACCATGTTGTTTGAACAATAGATTTAATTTAGTAGTATGTAAATAGAGTGAATAAATACCTCTTTCATTGAATTTCTTTTCAAAAGACAATTTTTGACACTTCAATACAAAGTATCCTCTCTTTTTCCCAATTGATTTTGAATTAACTCGGTTCTGACTACTTTTCACTTATATTTCTAAGTAATCTTTTCGACCTTATGAAATATGATAGAGGATATTAGATTTCTCACTTTTAATTTAAGTCATATATATATATATGGTTATCATTATAGCATAATCGGCTAAACTCGGTTAGACAAGTAATGAAAACTAGAAAGAAATGTATAGTTGTTTTGGTTTAGTATGGAGTTCCCTAATAGTACGCATCCATGACCTCACTATACATCAAATTCAGTACATTCAAGCCTCTTAAGAAAACTTTAGCCTTCGAAATACTCATTTGGTATCGAATCTATTGTAATTCGCAATTCAGAAAATTCACATAGTTAAATCACCATCAATCAATGCCATAAAATAGTAATAACTATCTGACTTCTTACATAGTTGAACTTGATTGATCACAACTTTTCAGTGGAACTACAGGAATTATTTCCTATCATTTTGGAGTTGTAGAGATTGTTTAGTTTTGATTGAGATCATGAACCAATCAATGTTGGACCACCAGGGAAAACCTGGAAGAACTGGACAGCCATTTCGTCTTATTGCAGGACTCCTCAGCAGTGCGCATCCGTGACCCCACTTCGCGAGATTCGGACAAAGGATCTACCAATCTCCCGCCAGAGCACCTGGTGGTCTAGCTTCAATTTACTCACGCTTTCAACTATGAAAACTGACTTTTGCTGAAAAACCTTTGTAGATTAATGTATTCTATGTTTATGACTTGATTCCATTACTCTCTAAGTTAAAAATAAAAATCCTACTTTAATTCTTCTATCATCTAATGAAGCCAAACACTTTTTCCAATACTCTCCCCTTTCGATTTCAATTTCCATTCATAATAATAATTATCATTATTTACATGTTATTTGTCTAATTTGCATACTAATAACATGATATTAAACCATGTAGAAAAATATTAAAAAAATTGATACAACATTTAGTCTTGGAGACAGATAATATTTTGTGGATCAGTTGAAGTTAGACTCAGTAGTCTAGAGGTTGAGCGTTCGCGCGCCAATCTGATGAGTTCTGGGTTCGAATCTGGTGAGGTGGGATCGTGGATTTGCACCGATGAGGAGTCCCACAACAGGACGAAATAGCTGTCCAATGCATCCAGATTTTCCATGGTAGTCTAGCTTCAATTAATTCATGATCTGAGCTATATAAAATTACTAAAATCTCCACGAAACCCCGATCTGATAATGATCATATGCTCACTAGTGACTGGCTCCATGAGGTAATTCCTGGAGTTCTAGTGAGAAATCGTGACCTGTAGAGCTTATCTATGTCAGGTAGAGACAGATATCTACCTCATTACAATGGAAGTTGGTCGCGCAATTTCGTGGATTGTTTGAGGTTAGACATCAACACCATTGGATACCGGCCAGCTCAGTGGTCTAGAGGTTAAGTGCTCGCACGCAAGACTGACAGATCCTGGGTTCGAATCTCACGAGGTAGGATCGTGGAAGCGCACTGCTGAGGAGTCCCACAATAGAACGAAATGGCCGTCCAGTGAGTCCAGGTTTTCCATGGTGGTCTAGCTTTAATAGATTCATGATCTCAACTATTAAAAATTTACTTTAATATCTACAAAACCCCTTCTGATATTCAGCAGCATTTAGTCTTTATTTATTCATTATTTTATTTAAACACAAATATTGGTACAACGAAGCACCAGATACATATGCGCCATACAAATCAAATGAGATTTGTGTGAGGACTGTGATACTACACAGGTGCCCAAACTGAAGCAGGTGGTCTCCCTAGGGGCCACACCATCAGCCTTTGACCTGAAGATCTGATCCACAAGGCAGTGGAGCATCATGAGGAGATGCAGTCCCATGGTAGCCGGTTAACAATGATTGATTCATACGCCATTTGTTCCCTCAGGATACTGGAGCCAGCCCATGTGCACCATTGTTTTGGAATCACGGTTTTCCAACTCCCCTAGGTAGACTTTGCATATCCACCAATCCGGTTAAAGTGCCGAACATTCGCTTTTCGTCATTTCAATTTCGTAATCAACACCCATTGTGCGAGAATGCAGTGAGTAGGACTTCCCTTTAATAGATTATATACACGTGTCCATGTGAGAGCATTTCGAGATAGAGAGCGAACTCTGCCCACTCTCGTCCGCACCAGGGCATTTGCGGGCACATTTAGTTTTGGAGACGGATCATGCTTATTTACCTTAAAAAAAATTTAAAAAAAATTTTTTTTAGTACATTCCTCTCTGTTACTAATCTATCTAATTATCTGTCGTAAATCAACATCTAGTCTCATTCCATTCTATGTAAATGGTTATTTAAGTAGTACTATAAATAAATAAATATTTAGTTTACCCATGTTAACAAGTCAAAGTTGTTGTTGTTGTCGTTGTTGTTGTTTTCCTTTTTGTTTATGTTTTGTTTGTCTAATTGTATATTCCCAACTTTCTGTGTGTGTGTGTGTTTGCTTCTTTTCTTCAATGAAGAAAAGAGATTTGAAGGATCCTAACTGATGGAATATAAAGATTATTATAATTTGTCTAGACTTAATATATATATACAACCAATTAGATCAAATATTATAAATGATTTATTGTAAACAATAAGGTCATTCAGTATTGTTTGTTTGAATCTTCCCATCGATGTGTTAGGACTACAACTGGTCATTCTCTAATTGGAATATGTGCATACTGTGTATATTGCCTCGATATAGCCTTAATACACAAGCATGGTAAGCAGAGATGGATAGTGGCTATCAGGACTCAGTGGCCGAGTGGATAACATGATGTCGTTTGAAGCGAGGGTACTGGGTTCGAGTCCCAGAGTGAACATCAACTCTGAGACGCAGGTACATTCAGCTGACGAGTCCCAAATAGGACGAAATGCGAGTCCTGGATTCCACTATTAGCCACTATCCATCTCTGCTTAATAAGGTCATTGTTATTGAATAGTTTGACTAACCTTTAAATGTCCTGCTACAGATCCAGATACAGAGTTATGAGAGTCAGCTTTCCCACTTGAAATCCCCTTAGATGGACATATGTATACAACCACTACAGGGAAAGTTCAACTGATTGCTTTCACGAAGCACTAACGTTGTTTACGAGGTTGAGGGGATGAAAAGAGGATGTCCAGTGCTTTAGTCAGGTTGGTGGTACGGAGGATGCACCTAGAGGAGTTAGGAAACCTTGATTCAAAACCAATGATGCACATGGGTTAT